GCTTTTGTTTTGGCACAGTACATAGTTTCAGTATTGGAGTATCACAGGATTCATTATTTTAAGATTGAGATTAATATTTCTGTTTATGGTCAAATGAGTGAGTGAGTGTAAGTGTGAACCACCAGGTGGTATTCGTGTAGTTAGTTGATGGGGTGTATCAGGGAGATAAGATGTTTTCTAATGGTAGTTTTGAAGGTGATGAATGTGTCTGCAGTTCTAGAGTTCTCAGGTAGGGTATTCCAGATTTTAGGGCCTTTGACATACATTGAATTTTTGTAAAGGTTTAGTCGGACACGGGGAATGTCGTAGAGATGTTTGTGTCTGGTGTTATGCCTGTGGGTTCTGTCACAACTATCAAGAAAGTGTTTTAGGTCAAGGTTGATATTAGAGTTTAAGGCCCTGTAGATGTAGACTGCACAGTAGTAAGTGTGGATGTACTGAACTGGGAGTAAGTTTAAGTCTATGAAGAGTGGGGGGGGGTGTTGCCAGGGATGGGATTTAGTGATTATTCTTACTGCAGCTTTTTGTTGGGTTATTATTGGCTTTAGGTGTGTTGCTGCAGTTGATCCCCAAGCACAAATAGCATAGGTGAGGTATGGATAAATAAGTGAGTGGTATAGTGTGAGAAGGGCATTTTGCGGCACGTAGTATCGTATCTTGGAGAGGATCCTAACCGTTTTGGATACTTTTTTGGTTATATGCTGGATATGGGTGCTGAAATTCAGGTTGTTGTCAAGGTATAAGCCTAGGAATTTGCCCCCATTATTTCTGGTAATTAGAGTGTTGTCAATCTTAATGTTAATTTGTGCATCTCCTGCTCTGCTACCAAACATAATATAGTAGGTTTTGTCAGTGTTAAGCGTAAGTTTATTGGCTGTCATCCAAGTCGATATTTTAATCAGCTCCTCATTCACAATGGTGTTGAGGGTGGCAAGATTAGGGTGAGAGATGACATAAGTCGTGTCGTCAGCAAAGAGAATGGGTTTCAGGTGTTGGGATACATTTGGAAGGTCATTGATGTATATGAGGAAGAGCAGGGGACCAAGGACACTTCCCTGCGGAACTCCAGTATCAAGTGGCCGTGTTGCTGATACTGTGTCTTTAATGGTGACATACTGATACCTATTAGTAATGTAAGATTTGAAATAAGCAAGCGCATGGCCTCTTATACCGTAATGATCAAGTTTGTGGAGTAGGATGTCGTGGTCTACTGTGTCAAAAGCTTTTCTTAGGTCAATAAAAATTCCTAGTGGATATTCCTTATTTTCCAACGCTGTGTAAAGCAGATCTAGCATTTTTATGATTGCATCATTAGTGCTTTTATTTTTCCTGAATCCAAATTGGCAGGGGTTGAGTATGTTTTGACTTCCACTTGTTCTAGTGACTTCCACTCGTACTAGTGACTTCCACTTGTATTAGTGACTTCCACTTGTACTAGTGACTTTCACTTGTATTAGTGACTTCTACTTGTACTAGTGACTTCCACTTGTACTAGTGTTTAGTAGTATTTAGGTATCTTTGTGCACATCTTCCAACTTCATATTTAAATTAGTGTGAAATTTTGATTCCTATTAGAACCGCGTTATATTGAATATACGTTTCTGAATTGTTTCAACACTTAATGGGTAATATATATTACACGTTATAGTCATAATACTAAGTTCACTCATGTGTTACCTTTCTTAATGTCAATTGTAATGTTAGCATAAAAGTATGCATATTACACTATTGAAAAAATATTTTTGTCATAGAGATACTATGTCCTAGGTTTAAATTATGCCAGTTATTTGTTTCAGTGTTCAATGAAAAATGGTATGACGTTGTGCAATATGATGATCAAAGGTAAATGGGGGGGGGGGGGGAGTTAGTTGTACTGCCAAAAAAATATTTTTTATTGATGTGCTAAATTAATGTGTATATTGGGCATGGGGATGCGAAGGAGCTTACCAAATTGAATCGGTATTTTTATATTCTTATGTATGTTCCTGGGCATGTATGACTACTATAAATCCTGTGAATATATATTGTTACATCATACGTCATGTGATATTGTGTTTCAACTTTTGTACATGTGTATATGTATAATGTGAGTCCGTGTGTATATCATGTGTAATGTTCTCATGGATGATGGTATTCTTAACAGTATGAAGGTTTTCGTCTTATAGTCATAATACTAAGTTCAATCATGTGTTACTTTTCTTAATGTCAGTTGTAATGTTGGCATCATATATGCATATTAGACAAATAAAGAGATGTTTTTGTCATCAAGATACTATGTTCTAGGCTTAAATTATCTTGGTTATTCGTTTCTTTGTTAAATGAACAATGGTATGTTGATGTGCAATATGATGGTCTGGGTACAAGGATGGGGGGGGGGGGGTATGGTTGTACTGCCCCAAAAAAATAATTTTTATTACATGTACTTCATTAATGTGTATATTGTATATTGCCGAATGGAAGGGGAAATGTGGACTGTCTTTAATTAATATTACTTGCACGGTTTTCTTGTGTTTTTCGTATAACGGCTTTATATATCTATCAGGTGTGTGTCAGTGTAATAAGTGAAATATTACTGTACATTGAAATGATTTGATTGATGTCGGGTATAATATTGTATAATCTTGTTTTTCGAACACGTGTTGGGGGTTGTACTGAGTCATGTGATGAGGAATTTTTCTAAAGGCAATGTAACACCTGCAGTTCTTTTGATTATGAGGAAATAATTGTTTTTGACAGTGAAATATCTGACAATATTTACTTTTATTTATTTAATGTATGTTTTAAATAAAATATATAAAAAATGTATATAACAGACAGGATAGTAGTACCTATTGAGATTAGTTTTGTGCTAGCAAATTTGTCAATATATTCAGTTATTTTATAAAACTAGGAATCGGAATCCGTGCTTTAAATGGAGAATGCCTCTTAGAAAACAAAATCATTTTTTTTTGGTTAGAATTTCAGAGAATTTTAAATAGAGTATAAATTAAAAATAAAAATAAATTAAAAACTCGCGTTTTTAATTATCACCAATTTATTGAAGCCTTAAGTGTCAGGAGCCCAAGACTGTTGAACTGCCTCCCAGCATACATAAGGGGAATTACAAATAGACCCCTGGCTGTCTTCAAGAAGTCGATGGACAGACACCTAAAGTCAGTACCTGACCAGACGGGCTGTGGTTCGTACGTCGGTTTACGTGCGGCCAGCAGTAACAGCCTGGTTGATCAAGCTCTGATCCACCACGAGGCCTGGTCACAAACTGGGCGTTGATCCCCGAAACCCTCTCCAGGTATACTGCAGGACTTGATGCCAGAGTCTGAGTATTGTTAGGTACAGTGTTCATGTCCTCCACCAACTTTCTCCGCTAACTACAGAACGGCTTGTCAGATCGGCTTCAAATTTTCACTCCTGGTGAACTGATACTAGGTGAAGGTTGTGGAGCAATTGGCAAGTGCAGGTGCTCTCTGTCACGTTATCTGGAGCCTGACTAAGTGGCTATTCTAATAAAGTTACAATGGGTTTATGTAACTTGATGCTGCCCATGTACATTAAAATAACATTTTTTTTTACACCCGGAGGGTCAGCCACCCAGGATAACCCAACGCCAATGGAAATAAGACTGTCTTATTTCCACTGGAGTCCTTCAGTCTTGTCTCCCAGGATGCGATCCACATCAGTTGACTAACCCAGGTACCTACTCACTGCTAGGTGAACAGGGACAGTAAGTGCAAAGAAACGTGCCCAACGTTTCCACCCATTCCGGTGATTATGTAAGTTTATTCAGGTATACACAAATACAGTTACATAGATTATCACACATAGCAGCATATGTGTAGAGAACCTAGGATAACTCAGAAAAGTCAGACAGAGTGAGTTATTTCCATTGGGACACTCAGTGTGTGTGAGGGGAAAGCACTGCCGACCGAGTGAGTAATGTTGCAGGTACAGAGTAAAGTATTTTTAGAAGAATGCCTACTGTTTTATTTTTTAAGGATTAAGGATTTTATTTCTTTGCATAGTTTTCAATGCGCAATTACAGTTTTGATTTGCTAAGTACAAAAAAGGCTGGATATGTAGTGAACATCTTAATTTACTGTCAATGTGTACACCCAAAACTTTTCAGTGTATTAGGTATGTTAATTAACTGGAATTTTTTTCTTTATTCCCAAACACTGTGTAAAAGTGTTTGGGAATGGGTGGTAATTAACTCGACCCAAAGAGGGGAAGGTCGGTTCAGTTCCTTGGATCAAGAGCCCTTCGCCGGCATGAAGTAAACTTCACTGGGAGGTTATAAATATTGAGTAAGTTTGTTATCCAAGTAGATAACTGTACGAACTTATTATTAACAGTGTTGTCGAGGATTTTATTTTATTCAAGTTAAGGAGGGAGCTCTAATCCCGTAGGGGTCATATAGCGCCTGAAGGAATGGGAGGCAGTGAGGCTCGATCTAAGGAAAGATCATTTCCAGTTCCTTGGATCAAGAGCTCCTCACCAACGTTTAAAGGGACCTCCTTGGAGGGGTTGTTGACAATCAGATTCTGGATTTGAGATGACAAAAGTTTTCTTCAAACAATTATGTAGTTTGGCATCAATCCAACACAACAAGGAACAGACACGGGTTGTTTTTACTCGCCGATATGACAGTGTAAAGAGGATCATGTGAGAATGGAAGAAAATGTCAAGTTAGTAAATTATTTATGTGGGCGTGTGTGTAAGGTGCAGGCCGTAGCTCAGCTTGCCATCGTCTGCTGGGTAATAACAACAACAGCGTTGGCACCGTTCCTATATTGTACCTTTTTCCTCACAGCGGCGTGTTACCCTTCTAGCTCCTAACACACAGCCTTCTTTACCACTTGAGCTCTTTAAAAGTTAAAAATGTCTGTATGACGTAAGTCAAAGTGGGAAATAATAATGGGATGGAAGAAAAAAATGGTATGTATTGTATTTTTAGAGGAGTGTGGTAATGTGAGTTGTGTTTAGGGCAGCGGCCAATGAGAGCGCGCGGAGCTGTGTGAGTCTGTGAGAAAGGAAGATGGCTGCCTCGGATGAAGAGGGCGGTCAAAGTGATAATAAAAATGACGACTCTGCCAATCACGAGACGAGCAAGCAATTTTCCACAATTCACCAAGTAAGTTGAGTCTTCGAGGAATAGTAAAAAAAATATTCCTGGAAGATGTAATTTATGAAATGGCTAGTAATCGCAAGTGTAAGTATTGTTGACAGATTGAAAATTTCCTTGTTTTCGGTGGAAATTCGGTAGAGTTTTAATGTATTTTCGCCTTAGTTTCACTTTAAGGATGAAGTTTGCGCACGTCCGCAAGTCTCATGAGAGCTGAGTATTCGAAGATAACTAGTGAATGAAAAACCCAAGTGCAGTGTAAGGAAAAAAAAAACAATTCACGTTGTTTATCGTAAAGTGGAAATGAGCGAAGTGCCAATCCCCCCTCCAGGCCCTGTTGCCTGGCCTGATATTTGTCACGTAGTCTCGTTCATTTGCAAGGTATTATTACCTAGTGTCGCAGCAGCTCATTATCTTGACAAATGTCGAATTCAGCGAGATTGTTTAGTATGGTGCGAGAATGGTGCGGGAGTTAGCCGGGGGCATAATAAGGTAAGAATTGGCATTGTGGTTTGTGTTGTTGTGGTACTGCTGTCACAGATGATAATGATGCAACCATAGAGTCTTGTGCACTATCACCACCCTCACTATCATGACCTATCTCACTCTCACCATGAACCATCTCACCCTTCTTAGCATGAACCGTTTCACCCTCCTTAGCATGAACTGTCTCATCCTCACTACCATGAACTATTTCACCCTCACTAGCATGAACTCTCACCCTCACTAGCATGACCCATCTCACCCTCACTAGCATGACCCATCTCACCCTCACTAGCATGACCCATCTCACCCTCACTAGCATGACCCATCTCACCCTCACTAGCATGACCCCTCTCACCCTCACTAGCATGACCTATCTCACCCTCACTGCATGACCTATCTCACCCTCACTAGCATGACCTATCTCACCCTCACTAGCATGACCTATCTCACCCTCACTAGCATGACCTATCTCACCCTCACTAGCATGACCTATCTCACCCTCACTAGCATGACCTATCTCACCCTCACTAGCATGACCTATCTCACCCTCACTAGCATGACCTATCTCACCCTCACTAGCATGACCTATCTCCCCTCACTAGCATGACCTATCTACATCCGCCCTCACTAGCATGACCTATCTCACCCTCACTGCATGACTATCTCCCTCACTAGCATGACCTATCTCACCCTCACTAGCATGACCTATCTCACCCTCACTAGCATGACCTATCTCACCCTCACTAGCATGACCTATCTCACCCTCACTAGCATGACCTATCTCACCCTCACTAGCATGACCTCTCTCACCCTTACTAGCATGAACTCTCTCACCCTCACTAGCATGAACTCTCTCACCCTCACTAGCATGAACTCTCACCCTCACTAGCATGAACTCTCTCACCCTCACTAGCATGAACTCTCTTACCCTCACTAGCATGAACTCTCATCCTCACTAGCATGAACACACACACCCTCACTAGCATGAACTATCTATCCTCACTAATATGCACTATTGCCAGGAGCTGTGAATCAACCCCTGGAACCACTGTCTCACCATCACTACCTTGAACTCTCACCCCTACTACCATGAACTATCTCACCCTCTCTACCATGCACTTTATCACCTTCACTACCATGTACTACACCTCGTTCACTCCCATGCACTATTACCCTTGGTAGCATTCACTGTCATCACCCTTGGTCCCATGCATTATCATCACTCCCATGCACTCATCACCCTTATTTACTCAGTACTCACTCCTATTCACTAATTACCCTAATTTATTCAGCACCCATGCACTCATTACCCTCCCATGCACTCATTACCCTCCCATGCAGTCATTACCTCCCATGCAGTCATTACCTCCCATGCACTCATTACCCTCTCATGCACTCATTACCCTCCCATGCACTCATTACCCCTCAGGGCAGTGCACTCATTACCCCTCAGGGCAGTGGACTCATTACCCCTCAGGGCAGTGCACTCATTACCCCTCAGGGCAGTGCACTCATTACCCTCAGGGCAGTGCACTCATTACCCCTCAGGGCAGTGCACTCATTACCCCTCAGGGCAGTGCACTCATTACCCCTCAGGGCAGTGCACTCATTACCCCTCAGGGCAGTGCACTCATTACCCCTCAGGGCAGTGCACTCATTACCCCTCAGGGCAGTGCACTCATTACCCTCAGGGCAGTGCACTCATTACCCCTCAGGGCAGTGCACTCATTACCCCTCAGGGCAGTGCACTCATTACCCCTCAGGGCAGTGCACTCATTACCCCTCAGGGCAGTGCACTCATTACCCCTCAGGGCAGTGCACTCATTACCCCTCAGGGCAGTGCACTCATTACCCCTCAGGGCAGTGCACTCATCACCCCTCAGGGTTGTGCACTCATTACTCCTCAGGGCTGTGCATTCATCACCCCAACTCCCATGCACTCATCACCCCAACTCCCAGGCACTCATCACCCTGACTCCCATGCAGTCACTCCGACTCCCATGCAGTCACTCGACTCCCATGCAGTCACTCCGATCTCCATGCAGTCACTCCGACTCCCATGCAGTCACTCCGACTCCCATGCAGTCACTCCGACTCCCATGCAGTCACTCCGACTCCCATGCAGTCACTCCGACTCCCATGCAGTCACTCCGACTCCCATGCAGTCACTCCGACTCCCACGCAGTCACTCCGACTCCCACGCAGTCATTGCCCCGACTCCCACGCAGCCACCGCCCCGACTCCCACGCAGCCACCGCCCCGACTCCCACGCAGCCACCGCCCCGACTCCCACGCAGCCACCGCCCCGACTCCCACGCAGCCACCTCCCCGACTCCCACGCAGCCACCTCCCCGACTCCCACGCAGCCACCGCCCCGACTCCCACGCATCCACCGCCCCGACTCCCACGCATCCACCGCCCCGACTCCCACGCAGCCACCACCCCGACTCCCACGCAATCGCCGTCCCCGACTCCCATGCAGTCAGCCCCCGACTCCCACGCAGTCGCCGCCCCCGACTTCCACGCAGTCACCTCTCCGACTCCCATGCAGTCACCGCCCCGACTCCCACGCAGTCACCGTCCCAACTCCCACGCAGTCACCGTCCCTGGCTCCCACGCAGTCACCGCCCCCGGCTCCCACGCAGTCACCTCCCCCGGCTCCCACGCAGTCACCATCCTCACTCCCATGTTCTCGTCGCTCATTTCTGTCTGATCACTTCCATGCACTTTGAACCTTGCTGCCATGCATTGTCATTGTATATCACCCTCACATTCCCATGCACACTTATTATTCTCAATCCTGTGCATTTATTACTCAATCTCATGCAATATTCACACTTTAATGCACTTATCAGTCATTGTTTAATCCCATGCACAATCATCACCCTCAGTCCCATGCACAGTCATCACCCTCAGTCCCATGCACAGTCATCACCCTCAGTCCCATGCGCAGTCTTCACCCTCAATCCCATACACAATCATCACCCCCTCAATCCCATGCAATCATTGTTATTCAGTGCATTCATCACTTATTCCCATACATTCATCAGTCAGTCCTGTGTTCTCAATCATTCAATCCCATGTGTTCAGCATATTAAATATCATGCACTCTCAAACTTCTTTATACTCCTTCTCCATTTCATTGCAGAAATGTGTTATTGTATAATATAACAATATTATTATGTGGTAAACAAGGGCACATAACATGTTGAATTTTTATTATTTAAATGTTATCTCGTATATCTTAAACTTGTTTTTAACACAAAGCTATATGGCTTGCTCTAGACAGGTCCTACTGACATCCAACCATTTCCAGTTATATATCTGCTTAACCTAGCCTTTAAGCCTCCCAAAATATTTCCCATAATGTTGCTACTTGTCAGTTTGTGTCACTTATTTACAACAAATGTTAAACCATGTTTTCGTTAATCTTTTTTTAAATTTATTTCACTTTAATTCATTGTTTTGAAATTTAGCCAATTTTAAGCCATTGTTTTGAGATTTTAGTTAGATATTTTCAGAACCATATTTTATGTACCCTTTATTTATATAGTACCAATCTTTTAGTGATATGCCCTCAAACATATTTCTCTTCATTTTATGGTTTGAGTGAAATAGCCACAAAACTAAAGGCTCTCCTTTATTTAACCCATTTGTTGCCAGCTTGCCTGCCATTCAAGTGATACTCTTATGCTAAAGCACTTCTGCAAAAACAATAATGATAGGTTTACTCCTCAATGTAACAACAGTGTTTAAATTTATTTATTATTTATCAACACATCAGCCATTTCCCACCAAGATAGGGTGGCCTGAGAAACTTTCACCATCATTCACTCCATCACTGTCTTGCCAGAGGTGCTTATGCTATAGTTACAAAACTGCAACATTAACACCCCTCCTTCAGACTGCAGGCCCTGTACTTCCCATCTCCAGGAATCAAGTCCATCCTGCCAGTTTCCCTGAATCCCTTCATAAATATTACCCTGCTCACACCCGAACAGCACACCAAGTCCTAAAAACCATTTATCTCATTTGCTCCTATCTAACACCCTTATGCATGTTTTAAGTCCAAGCGCCTCGCAGACAAAACCTCCTTTACCCCCTCCCTCCAACCTTTCCTAGGCAGACCTCTACCCTGCCTTCCCTCCACTGCAAATTTATACACTCTCGAAGTCGTTCTATTTTGTTCCATCCTCTGCATGTCCGAACTACCTCAACAACACCTCCTCAGCCCTCTGGATAATAGTTTCGGTAATCCCGCACCTCCTCCTAATTTCCAAACTGTGAATTTTCTGCATTATATTCACACCACACATTGCTTTCAGACCTGGCATCTCCACTGCCTCCAGCCGTCTCCTTGTTGCAACATTCACTACCCATGCTTCACACCCATATAAGAGCGTTGGTATAACTATACTCTCATACATTTTCCTCTTTGCTTCCATGGACAAAGTTCTTTGTCTCCACATACTCGTCAGTGCTCCAATTACCTTTTTTCCCCCCTTGTCAGTTCTGTGATTCATCTCATCTTTCATAGACCATCTGCCGACACGTCCACTCCTAACCCTTTGACTGTCGCAGCCGCATATATACGTCTTACAAGGTACCGTGTTTGACGTATATATACTCATAAATTCTAGCGGCTTCAAATCAAGCAGGAGAAAGCTGGTAGGCCCACATGTGAGAGAATGGGTCTGTGTGGTCAGTGTGCACCATATAAAAAAAATCCTGGAGCACGCAGTGCATAATGAGAAAAAAAAACTCCGACCGTTTTTTTAATTAAAATGCCGACTTTGTGGTCTATTTTCGTATAGTATTTATGGTTGTATTCTCGTTTTCTTGGTCTCTTTTGATAGAATGGAAAACATATTATAGAAATAGAGGTGATTTTGATTGATTTTACTATAAAAAGAACCTAGAAATGGAGCTCAGAGTAGGGGAAATGTTTGATTTTTGCCAATGTTCAAAAGTAAACAAATGATGCCATTGTCCAATAAATGTCCAAC